TGTCGACCAACAAGTGGAGGGAAAGCGACAATAAATGCAGGTCACCGGTGGTCAATAACAACATGCAGATGAACACACTGGAAGGGCACCTATAACAGCGACGATTAAGGCTTTGTTTGGGACGGCTTTTTCATTGCTTTCTAAAACGGAGTTTTAATACAAAAATAAAAAATTTTGTACTAAAACTCTGTTTTAGAAAGCAGTAAAAAAGCCGTCCCAAACGAAGCCTAAGATGTACCCCCCATGTCACTGGTGGTCAACAACAACATGCAGATGAATACAATGGAAGGGCACTTATAGCAGCGATGATTGAGAGGCAGCGGGTGTGGCAGCCCCCTCCCCCCCAATAAGCATAGAAGCGTGTTCACTTTACCTTACCTGAAAGTTTTATTGATTACTACAACTGAGTCCTCCAATTGATGATTCGAAAAGGCTTTGATATTGACAGTTGGGTATAAAGGTGACCCGATATATGAAGGAAATCCATTGATATGTCATCAGAAGATTCTAGTTGTGGCATGAAGCATGTAAAGTTGAATAATTATGTTGGGTCAAAGAATGAATAGTTGAAGAAGAAATACGTCATTCGATCATCTTTATTATTACTCCCGGAGAAATATTGCTTCCTTTGAAGGGGGAACAAATATCTGGAGATCTAAGTCGCACAGTTCAGCGTCATATATGCACATTAAAATGCATAGAATTAAATGAAGCAGCGGTGGAATGGAAGGAGCCATTCTTGGTTGCTATGTCAAGAGCTACAGAAGAAGCTCCCATACACATACCAGATATAAGAATTTCATTAGGACATTGAAGATGATCTTGCATCCTATCATGCCCATACTTCGAGTAGATCACCTTGTCATAAGCCAAAGAAGCCTAACGATGCATAAGTCAAGCCTTTGGTTTCATTAGATTATGATGCCTCATTTATCACAAAAGGGTTTCATGCAATTTGAATGTCCTCGTCTAGTCTAAGCAAGGACTATATGACTTGTAGATTTGATTTCCCGAAGAATGTGAAAGGGGGCCTGCATCAGAACAATGAGGTCATGACAGTCGGGTGACAACGCTACGATTCACCTGTAAGCAAAAATAGGGAATCAATAGTAAAAATCACGGATCGCTGAAGCGTAATGTCGCGCCACCGGATCTGCAATATTCATACAAGCAGATAGAAGGTGTCTATAAATCCCAAAATAAAACCCCGCACATTTGGCAGCAATGGTCACCTATATAGCCGGCTACATCAAAAAATACAAAACACCCCTTTGCATTGCATGCAAGTATTTTAAAATGCCCCTCATATATGCATTGCTACATGCATGATAATTCATTTAAACTTACTATCCAGCATTGTGAGATGTAGAAAATGCATTGCATTTACATACTAATATGTTGCATGTGCATGTGTCGTAACTTACATAGTACGAGCATGTTATCCGACTTTGTTGTTGCATGTTAAAGGACCTCCCACATGTTTTTATAATATGCAGGGGTTTCACTCCAGTGTGTCATTTGACACTATATTTACATTCAAATATACCCCCGCATGCATTTATAATAAGCAGAGAGTTTCACTCCAGTATCTCATTTGACACTACAATTGTATTTCAAAGATCGTATCTTGTATACACGCGAATGCATCATGCAATATACATGTAACAACATATACCCGCATGGGGCCTGACAAGCGTGTTGTAAATACACATGTGATGTCTGAGGTTATTACATGGGTCAAGTGATAAACTTAAGTTCAAGCCCGATCCTCATATGCAAGTGGATAGGAGTTGGCACGGCTCGAACTGTTAAACAGATATATGGCTGTGGCATTGACAAGAATATTTGTTTTAGAGTTCATATTAGGCCTTCAAAGCACATAACAAAGAAAATTTGCTCATAAATGCATAAAGCTTGCAACGAACCCGATCCTCTGCAGATAAGTAGGTATAGTCGACAATGTTCTATAAGTAAAAATGAAATAACCAAGAAATATTTCAATAATAGCCGTGTTGAATGTAAATTTCAATTGGAGGGATTAATTCTCAATATTTTATCAATGGCACCAAGCCTACAATGAACCCGATCATCTGTCGGCAAATAAAACAAAGTCGACAAGGTTCAACTAATAAAACTCCCTGATGATGATCATGTTAACAGAAAATTTCAAACAGAGGAGGCCACAAACATTTAAAAATACCTTCAAATGCCCATCAAAAATAAAAAATACAAGAATATAAGATATTTAAAATTAAAACTAATTATCAAATACTTAAAGCAAAATCCATCCACCCTTCGCAATAATTTACCGAAGTGGACAAATTTAAATATCACTTCAGCTCACAAAGAGTTAATATCTGGTCTAGAATATCACTATGATTCATTCTAAAACAGTCTATTGCCAGCAAGGACGTGGCACGTGTCCTCTAACTAGTGGTTTTTTCGCCAAATGTCACCATACCGTGATTTTTGCGGTTAAATGACACCACAGGTAAACAATTATAACCGAGACCCTCTAAACTGAGTGGTTTTGTCGCAAAATGGCATCATTATATTATAGTCATACTCAGTGCTAGTATGCTCCCAAATGATATTAAGTCCTTGTGACATGAATTAATAGAATATGCTTGATAGGGCACAAGCCCCTCTGTTAGCTAAGGTAGATTCAAATTTATCCCCTTAGATAAATACTCACCCTAAGTCTACAAGGTACCCTTAGACGAAGCAACCCCTGACTGCCGACAAGGATCCTTCTATCAAGTTGGGTCTACTATCTCCTACAATTAAGTAGACCAGGGACTACAATGGCCCGAGACGAAGGAATCATGGGATCTGGATCGGACTCATCATCATTCCCCCCCACCATCCACTTTAAGTGTGAGATGATGAAATTTTCAATTTTATATATCAAACTCTCAATTATCTAAACCCATATTGCTACTATATGACGAATATCACGTATCTTAGGATATGATGTATTCATTTGATGACTAGCCTTAATTCGAAAGTTCTCTCTCATGATTGGGAGGGGTAATTAATTATAAGGGCTTATGCATATAGGAAACCAGAACTTAGATCATAAAGTCATTGCAAAATGGGGGAGAAATCTCTAGGTAGTTTCTTATTCTCAACCCAATCTGTCTTCTGAAAATTTACCCCAGAACTTAATTCATTAAAACTCCTCGAAAGAAGCAGGGGAGATTGGGGCACGAATTTTTGAGCCCACAACATCACTTCCATAGAATGCCCTAGCATTAACACAATGTATTAAAGGATTCATGTTATGATTATTCGATAAGTTTTACATTGGCTGTCGACTACTTAACGCAACCCTCTACTCTTCTAATCCAGGACTTGAAATCTGACAATGATAATGTTAGCATATCTAGTATAACATAAAAAAAATAAACATAAACTATCTAGTACATGGTAAAGCTTCAACTATTCAATACAAAATGTAATAGGATTAGCTTCTTTAGGGGTTTATCTTTAGTCTTTAATATTATCATTAAATATCATTGCTTCTAATTCTGGCCGATCAAGAAAAAGATTTGTTGTTTACAATATTCTCGTATCATTAAGGGACTAAAACCCATCTCCAGCAACATCCCACCTCTTGTTTTCTCCTTTCGTATATACTTGAGTTTTTTTTATAGAAGATAAAAGTTTGTATTCCCATAAACTAAATTTTCATCTCATGATGGAGTAATTTTGTTCATTTTCATTGATTGAATGAATGCATATGTGCTCTAATTTCTCTCATAGCAAAAGGAGGATCAAACATGACCAAGAAGTTTTATGGTGATTGGTTGAAATAGAGTTGCTGAAGCTCTATGAATCAAACCATCACATTTTTGGATTCATTATTCACCTATCATGCAAAGACTCTTGGTCACCAAAGTCTTCTAAACAAAAAATTTAGCAAGCTTTATATTAATCATTCTTCTCTTTCCTCATTTGAGAAATAATGTTTCAATTGTGCCTTCTTCATATTTAAAATTTCTAAATCCTTTGTGGAGAAACCTGTTGAGTGTCCTCTTGAATCCATTCTTTACCTGAAAATATTCAAAGAATATACTACAACAACAACATCAAGCTTTTGTCCTACTTCGTTTGGTCTGCTACATGAATCCTTTTTCGCCATCATGTTCTCATTTAAATCTAATAAAGAAACATCATTTCTAATATTTTCTAACAAAGTCTTTTTAGGTCTACCTTTACCTTTCTTAACATAAGTTAAATCTAATACCCTAACTTTCCTAACCGGGTCATCGGAAGGCTTCCTTTTAATGTGACAAAACCATCTAAGGAGACTATCTCTAATCTTATCTTCCACTGGAGCTACTCCAACCTTTTCACATATGTGCTCATTTTGTATCCTATCTCTATGGGTAAAGCCACTCATCCACCTAAAGCATCCTCATCTCTGCAACAATTAACTTAGTATTATGCTTCTCTTTAAATGGCCAACATTTGGCACCATAAAGCGCTGATACTATAAATCTGGCTAAATAGTTTTGTCATTTTTTTTCTTTACAGTGTAAGGCCAAAATTTATATTCTTTACTTAACACCTATTTTCCATGGAATTCTGTTTAATCCGCTTTGGCTTAGGAAGATTTGCTTGTGCATATTATTTTCTAAGGAATTAAAAGGGTAAACAAATATTGGTGTATATTTAATCAAACTGATGCAACAGATTTATTTGAAAAAAAATTGACATAGGAGTTGATACAGACTATGAAGCTAATGAGAAAATGATCAAAATGATCTATTGACTATTTATGAAAGACCAAAATAATCTTCCATTATATTAAAAGATTATTTTGGCCTCTTAATTTTTTAAAAAGAAGTCAAAATAGTCCCACAATGAGAGTATTACAGACTTAAATGATTTATCATTTTGATCCTTTTCTCTGAAGCTAACCTATTTACAAACTTAAATGATTTACCCCATGCGTTTAATCTCTTAACTACATGTATGCTAGTTTTCGGTTTCAGGTGTCTGGCTTGAAGTCTATAACATCGAAGCACTTAGCTCTGGCAAGCCAAATTATCAGTTTTATTTATGCTATCATGCCAGGTAACATGCCTTGACCATGAATTTTTCTTTTTGAGTATGCTTCTTTGGTTTTCCCTTTGATATGTTATTAGTAAGAGCTGATTAGCTTTGCTCTCTAGAGTTCTCCTTTTGGCTTTTATTGATAGATGCATGCATTTATTCTCATTTTCTTTTTTATGGTTTCATCATATGCATTGACCTATGAGTCTGTAATGCTGTATGATTTAGCTCTATTAATTTGTATGATCATCTAGGGACCTAAAACAACAGTGTTCCTTGTTTTATTGAAAGCTTTCTATAAATTTTGATGATTGAAATTTATATTGCAGCTTAATGTTACATAAAAAAACTATATATGTTTGTTGCCGTTGTGGTAATGTTTGATTTCATGCTGACATTTCATTCAGTTTGTAACAAAATTGAAATGAAATTTGAATTCTTAAACCTTGTGGATATTTGGTTTTCATTAAGAATTTCATAGAAGACTTCATTATAATTTGCCTAGAAATGGTGTACAGCGCTTATCATTTATTATTCAAGGTTAAATTTTATCTCATATCTATATCGTTTTGAACTTATCAGTTGTTAAACATGCTTTAGATAATGCCTCTTCTTGGCACATTCTTAGTCTTTATCTATCAGCTCTCTTACAGCTTAGGTGAATGTGTATGTTACTCTTAAGGGAATGTTCATAAATGTAGAATTTAACACACTCTAGAACCAGCATTTGGTTTCTATGAAAACATTGACAACATGTATTTTATTTTTCTTAATGAAAACTTCTGTGGTGGTCGTAAGGTGTATATCATATGGCCAGTCTGGTATTGGAGGTACGACACCTTGGATAAGGTTGAGAATTCTACCCGTTGAACTTTCATCTGCTATCCCAATATCTGTTTGCAGAAGCTGCATTATGATGTTTTCTTGTGGGAAAAACAAGGCATGGATCCGCAGAAAAAATGGTTAAAAACAAGTAAAAGAGTACCGAGTTGGGAGTCCTTTTCTTTTGATGTCACATATGCATAATGATTATGATAGCCATTTGAAACACATGTAACTTTTTGCATGGTTTACTCCTATTTATTGTCAATCATTGTGAATAACTTTGGCTTATTCTTATACCCAAGCTAGCATTATTTAGGTTTAATAAGTAATATTGACCCCCGTATATGTGTCACGGTTAAGGGACCACACCGAGGAAGACAACTAACTGACACGTTGCTCGGAGCGAACATTAGAGCGCCTCGATCGTGCATTAAACCCCCAAAACTTCATCCATTTGCGAAACCGGTCACACCGATGCATTCAGTCACGAAAATCACAAAAAATGATTATATAATATCTATTATATTATACACACACACACACACATATATATATATATATATATATAAAATAAAAAATTATTATAATTTTTATATCATATCAGCCAGCTACCAAAACTGTCGTATCCCTACGTGACTGTAGTGGCGAAGTAGATGTTTCGTCAGACATAAATAATAATAATAAAAGATTACACACTCGTTTTTTCGTAGTTACACGTTGCTCTCGACCCCCAACTCTCCTATTCTCATTGTCCTCCTCTCTCTCTTCCTGCTCCTAACATGCGACCCCTAGCGAACACCTCCCAACTCTAGTGCCCGACAACATCCCCAATTGCCGATCTCCACTCCCACAAGGCTGATTGTCCCCTTTTGCACTTTAGCTTCCGCTCCCTTCCTCTCTGTTCGTAAACCTAACTTTCCTTCCCTCAACAATTAAACGCAATAGTTCCTCGCCTCAACCAAACTGCAGCCTAGCCCACCTACTATCAGCCTACAGCTCTTCTCCCGAGGCCAAACCCTTCTCCCCTATATAAACTCAACATTCTCTAGTCAAACAAATCTCTCCACTTCTCCCCTATTTTCTCTCTAACTAAGAACTCAAAATCACCTGCATTCCATATCCAACCACCCAATAGGTACTCACATCCTCGATCTCTGCACTACCTACCCACTCAGCTACACACACACCTAACCTCCATTTCCTATGTATACTCTCTCTCTCTCTCTCTCTCTCCCCTCTCTGTTATTATTATTATTTGTCACGACCCGGTCCGGTGAGCTTACATAGGCGAGGCGGGAACGGAGGTCGGACTGTAGACTAAAATATCTAATTCCTAAAACTATCACCTTAACATTTGAAAGAGCCTCTAAAACATCAAATTTGAAAACAAATAAATATAAAATCATTGATATTCATAAAGTTACCTTTCTTTAGGAGCTCATCTCATACAGTATACATTTTCACTCATTCTACTCATTTTGGTTTAAAGTAATTACATCTGAAAAATATTAACAACTAACAGTAAGCCGAAGCTCAGTAAGTAAGACACGATTCTAAATTACAGTAATCAAGGAAAAATGAACAATATGCTATATATCACATTTTATTTAAAACATAACATAAATTGATTTCTTATAAATATATCATTAAACGTATCATGTCATAAAACCATATATTTCTTTATCATTTCTATATTCATATCAATATACTTAGCTTTCTCATTTCGTATATATTACAACCGTCACAGGAGCCACCATCTAGTACCATAAAGGTATTCCTTTACAATTTCCTTTTCCATATCCTTTACCATTTTAACGTGCACGAGTACAGCGTCCTCAGCTAGTACTATAAGGGGGTGAGCTCCATCAATTCAGCATGCACATACAAGCATTCAATAATAATCATAACATAATCATATCATCTCATTTCTATAGCATATGAACTTTGCATAATAATGCCATAAAATGTAACATATAAATTTCATGATCAACATTAGACAAGAGTAAAACTTTAATAAACATGTTTGATCTTTCAAATCATATAACTTGAGAGAAACTAAAGTCATTATTGTAAACAAAGAACCATGTATACTTACAAGAAATTAGGAAATTGCTTCTCTATGCTAGTCCTCCTTCCTTAGAGATCACCACAAATAACACCTATAAGAAAATATTTTAATATTCAACGGTTAAAGTCATACCTGTTAACGGCGAATGGTGTACCATGGCGCAAAGGTCCATTTGGAGCCATGACGCATAGCGCACGGCGCGGCGCGCGCTATTTTGAACATGGCGCAAGCTATATAAAAATTATAAAATAATAAGCATGAATATGAAATATTATTAAAAATGAAATACAAGCTATCATAATATTAAAAGACAACCATAACATATATAAGTTCGACTAAGTAACATTCAAATATCTCATAATTCAAATACTATAATCTTTTTTTTAAAAGATCAAATAAGAATTTAATCTACTCTTCTTGGGAATCACCCTCGGTACCGCTACTTCATAATCCTATAAGAACTGAATCTGACATTTTATGATCACCTAAAAGCAAACAAATTTAGATAAAAGAAACATAATATGGGGGCTGCCGGGGGTCCAAGGGGGCGCTGCCCTTGCAGGGGTTTGTAAGAGAAATTTTGAAGTTCGTTTGTATGGAAATTAGGGAGCGATACCGAGCGTCTACCTAGTTGTACCAAGCTATACCGAGTGATACAAAGCATGTAACTAGCGATACCGAGCGTGTACCTAGTTGTACCAAGCTGTACATAGTGATACTAGCGGTACTGAGCATGTACCGAGCGGTACCGAGCATTTACATAGCGGTACCGAGCGGTATCATGCATGTACTTAGCAATACCGAGCGTGTACCTAATTGTACCGAGCTGTACCGAGTGGTACAAAGCATGTACCGAGCGGTACCGAGCATGTGCCGAGCGGTATCATGCATGTATTTAGCGATATCGAGCATGTACCTAGCGGTACCGAGCGTGTACCTAGTTGTACCGAGTTGTACCGAGCGGTACAGAGCATGTAATTAGTGGTACCGAGCGGTATAAAAAATATTCATAAGTATACCAAAATTTAAAAACAATTTGGCGCACTATTTTGCGTCGTGCGCAATGCGCCATGGCTCACATGTGGCGCAAATAGCACGCGTTATTTTAAACACATGCGCCTCGCCATGAACATGGCGCAGTAGGTGCGCTGTGCCGCGCCGTGCGCCATGGCTCGCGCTATTTTGCGCCATTGACACCTATGGTTAAAGCTAATCTTCTCAAATTCAATGAATCTTACTCCTATAAAACTTCTAAAGGTTCTCTTTCTCTCCCTCTCATTTAAAACATAAAGCATATAACAATTCTAAAATCTCATATTTTGGCCTAATTACATTTTTAACTAAATTAACCATTTTTTCATAACCTAAATTAATTTAAAATAATTTCTATTTTCGGATTTAAAATAATTAGAAAATAGGAAAATACTATTTTATAAGAAAAACTCAATTTCTTTTCTTAAAACCCTCTTAGGACTCTTAGGAACCACATTTGCAAATGCACTTTCAAAATTTCAAATTTTAGGGGAAAAATCCTAATTTTTCTATCTCAGTACTTTTAAAGAAAAACTTTGTTTTCATGCATAAAAATATCTCCTAAATCTTCTCTAACATTTCTCCTAAGTTCCTCTAAGAATTTCTAAGTTTATTCACAAACCCTAAAATTTTCTCCTTAAAAAATCTAAGAGGAAAAAGAAGATTTATAGGTTTAGGAACGTACCTTAGACTTCTACTGGCTTCCCTCTTCGTTTTCTCTCAAAAAGCTTCGCCGGAAACCGCCGCCCAAAGCCTCCCCGCCGTCATGCCCATCCGCCCTTCCTTTCTCTCTGGGTTTCGGGTTTCGGCCGAACGAACAAATTTTGTCCCCTTAAGAGGGACGAGAGCTAGTTTTAATTACATAATGACATAAATGCCCTCACTTAAACCATATTCGCTTTAATAATGCTTAGGGGTACTTTCGGTATATTATAACTTCAAATATTTTTAATTTCAAAATTAAGCGAATTTTAATATATGTTCTTTATATCAAATTGCTCAGAATTTTGCGTAGAATTTTATAAAATTATTTTCGTCAAATCAGACAACTTTGAATTTTTCACTTAAAACTTGTTGTGACACGTCGAAAAGTGTG